ATAAATAAATAAAATAAAATACCATCAATGGATGAACTGCTAGATGTGAAGTGTTAGGTGCGACAGGCGGGAAGCTTTCCGGGGGAGGGATCAGAGTCTCATCGGCAATGTACCGATCGATGGAACAACCAGGCACTGCGTGCCTCCTGATGAATACATATGAAGTACACAGCACCACCTATGAAGTACACTTGCCGAAAGAAAGCTGAACTTAAATTTAAGAAGCCTTTCAGAGTTAACGTCTAGCTAACAAAAAAACACGGGCGAGAGAGGAACAAGTCAAAGGACACCATGAGAAAACAAGCAAGCAAACAAATCCAGAAAGTAGGACGTTCTCTAGGACAACTGACTGAGATTTCTCATTACGTTCAACAGTAGTTTTCAACCAAGGGTGATCCTGCCCCTAAGCGGACATCAGGCAATGTACAGAAACATTTTTGGTTGTCACAACTGGGGGGCTAAGTCATATAGTAGGGAGAGGCCAGAGATACTGTTAAACAATCCACAATGTAAAAGACAGCCCCCCACAACAGCGAATTACACTGCCCAAAATGTCTTAACATGCAGAGGCTGAAAAACCCTGATCTAGGTAAGAGTCTATTGTGCACCCTGTTTCGATCCTGATTTCAATAAACCAACTGTAAAAAAATTATTGAATTGAGAAATTTTAACACAAGACTAGTTACTGGATAATACCAAGAAATTATTGTTAATTTTGTTAGGTGTTCTAATATGATTATCTAAGAAAAGGTCACTCCTCCCCATCTTTTTTTTTTTTTTTAAAAAAAAGAAATGTCTAATTAAGAGTAAGGAGTCTGTAGGTGTTGGGCAATCTACTTCTGTAGTGATATCACCTTGGCTCGACGGCAAGTAACAACAAAGGGGGCACAAACAGTTAAGCACCTACCACCTGCCAAAAGACTGATGGTTCAAACCCATACAGACACACCTCAAAAGAAAGCCCTGGTGATCTGCCCCAAGATGTCGCCACTTTGAAAACCCTTGGGAGCATGTCCCAAGGGTAACCAAGTGGTCACCAGGAGTCAGAACGAACTTGATGGCAACAAACAACAACAATGAAGAATACAGGGATAAAATGATATAGGGTCTAAGATTTTCTTTAAAATATTTCAGCAGCAACAACAAACAAAGTGAACATGAAGCAAACATGGCAAATCTTGACAGCTGTTAAACCCAAATGATGGGTATACAGGGGAAATCATACCATTTTCTCTACTCATGTATGTTTAAAATCTTTAACCATAAAATTTTTGAAGTGACACATGCCAAAAATAAAATATGAATTAAAGAATAAATGAGCAGAGGATTAGCTGTCAGAGATTGGCACTGGCATGAAGAAAAACGTTTATCAAAAAAAACGAAGTATTCTAAGTTTAGAACATGACAACTCTTGTATCTTATTCAATGAATCTCTGTAGAGAGCCAACAATTTACAAGGCACGTCCTAGGTACTAAGGAACTCTGGCGGTGCAGTGGGTGAGGCATTTGGCTGCTAACCAGAAGGTCAACGATTCAAACCCACCAGCGGCTCTGTGGGAGGATGATGAGGCAATCTACCTCTGTACAGATTTACAGCCTTGGAAACCCTCTGGGGGTCGCTATGAGTCAGAAGTGACTCAATGGCAGTGGGTCCTAAGTGCTACAAGATATAAAAGATAAGTGAGACAGTCCTTATCTGCAAAGGACTTACAATCTGAATAGAATGAAACCAGGTGAATGAGCTCAAGCCTGGTTTCATGGAGACCCTGCTATTTTGAGATGTGCCTAAGAGTTCTGGTGGCATAGTGCTGAAGGCATTTGACTGCTAACCAGAAGCTGGAGGTTCAAACCCACCAGCCAATCCTCAGAAGGAAGGTTGCCAATCTATTTCCATAGTGATACTGCCTCGGCAATCCAAGGAGGGGTCGCTATGAGTCGGGTCCAACTCGACGGCAGTGAGTTTGGTTTGGTTTTGGTTTTAAAAGAAGTATAACTATAAGCAGAGGGAAAGGAGTGTGAAGAAGTTAGGGTGAATTCTAGACAAAGGCAAAAAAGCCTCAAAAGGCTTACCAGACCCTTGTAATCTGACCAATGTATGCCTCTCAAGCCTCCTCATCCACCACCTTCTTCTGGCTCTCACTAAAGTATTGTCGTCGTTGTTATGTGCCATCGAGTCAGATCCAACTCATAGTGACCTCCCTTGGATTTCCAAGGCGATATCACTATGAAAGTAGATTGCCCAACCCTCCTTCCAAGGAGTGGCTAGTGGGTTTGAACCGCCAGCCTTCTGGTTAGCCTTAGGGACTATGCGACCAGAGCTCCCACCAAAGTATCAGAGGCACTGAATACTCAAGGCACCAAAAGAAGTTCACTATGGGCAAAAGTACAAAGCCAGCAAAGCAAAAGCAGCACTCAAGGTCAGTATTTATATTGAAGACCAGATTGACTGAAAAAAAGAAGAAAAAAAAAGCCAAAGAATGTAATTTATCTGTCTCTCTAAAAAGTCAGAAACAACAGTCTAGTAAAGATGAGCAATACATGTCATATTTTGGTTTGGACTAACTCCGAGAGTGGTTGACAACAAAAACACTGCCAATTTCAGAGGGAGGTAGGAAAGGGGACACAAATTTTATCTATATGACAGAGAAATCAAGAAACTAATCTGAGTGGGATGGCAGTAATTTGGTGTAAACCAACAGAATCACTTTTTCCACTGTTTCATCCCAGCACCTAAAGTGTGTTCAACCGATGATGGGCCAAGCATCACTCCCTAAAACAACTTGCTTCTGTTCCTATTTCCTATCGCTGAACCACTGTAAAATTAGAATACTACATCCCTATCTTTGGAAAATCTTCTATATGTCATCTGAGCTTGTATATTAAGAGTTGTCTATTCATAACATGACCAAGGTAAAGGAAGACACCGGGAGGTATACAGCAAGAGTAAAATACAACAGTGGTTAATACTATTACATACACAATTCTGCAATAACAGTAATTTACAAGTGAGTACAAAGCATACGTAAACTGAACAGGTGTGGGATGGCATATGGGAGTACAATCACAAGCATATTCAGGTTTGACAGTTATTTCTACATACATATTTGTATGTGCTGCAAATATATCCAGGTAAACCACGCTGGGGCAAAGTTATGCCAACTTAGCCATAACCAAACATCTTAAGGGGATGAGTCACTGGGCTTGAGGACTTAAGACCATACTCTCAACAGCTATCCAGATCAAATGGTATAACAAAGTCCATAAACACAATGTTTTACATGCTACTTTGGTAAGTAACGACTGGGGTCTCAAAAGATGGCGAGAGGCCATCTAAGATAAAACTATTGGTCTCTTCCCATCCGGAGCAAAGAAGAGTAAAGAAAATCAAAGACTCAAGGAAATGATTAGTGCGAAGGATTAATGGACCACAGTCTCCACTAGCCTATAAGCAAAACTAGATGGTGCCCAGCTATCACTACTGACCACACTCTAATCAGGATCACAGTAGAAGGTCCTGGACAAAGTAGGAGAAAAACGTAGAAAAAAATTCAAAATCATAAAAAAGACCAGACTTACTGGTCTGACAGAGACTGGTGGAACCCCCGAGACTATGATCCTTAAACATCCTTCAAGCCTGGAACTGAGCCTACTCCCGGAGATCACCTTTCAGACAAACAATAGACAAGCCTGTAAAGCGAACAGTAACACCCATGAGGAACATGCTCCTCAGAACAATCAACCATACGAGATCAAAAGGTGCCAAAAATAAAGTTCAGAAGGCAGGAAGGAGCAGGAAAGATGGCCAAATGGAAATGGGAACCCAGGGAGGAAACGGAAAGAACGCTGTCACATTGCAGGATTGAACCAAATGTGCACAAATTGTTCAATAAGAAATGAACTTATTCTGTAAACTTTCACCCAACCACAAAGAAGTGTTCAAAAAATAAGAAAAAGTTCTCTATTGACACAGATTACTGTATTTTTACACAAATATTGCACGCTATCCAGTTTTGTTGTTTTTCGCAAACTGCACAACCTCCTTGTGCATTAGTTTCCTGTGCATACTATGAACCTTATACGCATGTGCAGGGTATGAGAAATAAGTATTGTAACAAACCATTTATTCTGCTTTAGTTCTATCTTCCTTCTCAAGGGAAGAATTATTACCACTATCCTATCAATTGTGATCATTCTGTGGAAAGTATCACTTCAAAGAGAAACTTAGAGGAATGAGTCTCTTGCAAATGAAGAGACATCACAGACTTTTTTTTTCCCAACCTTAGCCAAATTCCAAGGCTGTCACTTGTAGCAAATGGTAACAAAAATGAAAAGCACCAAACTGGTCATGTCTTACACCTTTTTTAAAGTGATGTGAGAAAGGATGTATGGGTCAAATCTCCAGAGACACATCTATTTACTGTCAGAGCAAGTGCATATTGGGAATGAACTACGGAACCGCTACCTGTGCCTAAGAGCATGATTAGGATGCTCCTGAAACAACAGACTTCCACCCTTCATTTGCTGAGGGCACCTAATTCAGGAAACTGACAGCTATCAGTGGCTCCTAATTTTCTGTTTTTGAAGAAGCTAAATGCCTAAGATAACTGGTCAGACATTTTGAGTGTCAGCCCTTTGAGAGGTTTCTTCTTCATGCTGCCTCTCCAAGGAAATTTTAGTTTAAAAGGCAATTTTAAAACGTGTCCCTTTGCAACAGCAACAGAATCTAGTAGGATGGTTGAATGAAACCTAGGAATAGACTGAAAAGTAACTTTTGAGCTATCCTACTACTTTGTGGTGTCTAGAACATCTTTAAACACCTTTCTTCTAGTAATTCACACTTAGCTAATCAAAAAACTGAGACGTCAGATCTGACTCTTATAGATTCCTTGAGTGTAAATTAGTTAGTCATTGTGTGTAGCTTGTGGCCCGGTTAAAGCCCTGAGACCTGCTCACTTAGGGTCCTCTAGGTGAGAGATCCGCCCAAGCAGATGGTTTCTTACCTGTGGAGTCATCGTAGACGGATCTGGCTCTGGGGTGGCTTGCTGCTGTTCCACACTCTTGGTCTTGGTTCCACTCTCCAAAGGCTCTTGCTGAACAGTTGTCTTATTCCCAGAAGATCCGGACGGTGGTGGCGGCGCTAGGAGTTGGGATTTAGAATGGCCCTGGGAGGGGCGGGAAGGAGATGCCTGAGAGGAGGGCAAGTAGGACTGGGAATGGCTCAAATAGGAAGAGGAGGAGGAGGAAGAAGAGTAAGATGAGGTGGGCGCCAGGTAGGATTGGGATGGTGGAGACTGCGAAGGGGACGGCTGAGCCGGAGGCGGGTAGGCTTGGGACGAGGCTGGAGGGTAGTACGAGGGTGGCGGTTGAGGTGGAGGCATGTAAGATTGAGACGGAGGCATGTAGGATCCTGGCGGCACAGGAGGAGATTCAGGGGGGGAATCCAGCTCCATGGGAACCAAACCAGGAGGCCCTTCTCGTTGGTGGTGAAGCATCTGATGTTTGTATTGCTGCTGCTTCTGATAGCTGAGGGCCGGCCCAGGCGGCGGGGGCATCGGCGGCGGCGGCGGCTGCCAGTCCCCATAGCCGCCCCCTGGCATCACCGGCGGAGGTGGCAGGGGGGGTGGGGGGAGATGGTGGGGCTGGAGCACGCACTGCATTTGCTTCTGATGCATCTGCTGCAGCTGCTGGAGCTGCGCCAGGTGCTGCTCGCGAAAGCTCATGAAGCCCGAAGAGGAGGAGGCGGTAGGAGTCGTCGAGCTCGAGTAACCGGGCCCCGGCGAGGCCTCAGGAAGCGCCACCGGCGGCGGCGGGACCGGCGGCGGCGGATAGTGGCTGCCCCCGCCATACCGGCCCCAATTCGGGTACATATCGGAGAAGAAGGCGCAGGGCCCGTCCCGGCGCCGTTACTCGTCGCAACCGACCTCCAGGAGCTACGGTGGCGGCGGCGACAGCCGGAACTCGCGGCGCCTACAGGCCCCGGAGCGTGTAAACGGAGCGCGCCAGTGCGCCGGCGCTACCGAGCTGGGCCCGCGACCGGGAAGGCGGGGACAGGGCTGAGGCGAGTACGCCTGCGCAGTATCCACCGAGAGGAGACCAAAGGGGAGCTAGAGTGGACTCTTACTTGGCGACTCTCGATTCCCATCTTCAGTCTGGTTTGGGTGGTGCAGGCGCGAGTAGAATGTTCTCATAGAACCAAGGAACCATAGAGTCTCACAGCCGAAAGGGTTGGTAGAGATCCTATCGCCCCCTGGGTTCATTTTTGAATGGAAAAAAAAAAAGCTTCCATTCACAATAGCAACAATCGCAATAACAAGAAAAAAGCCACAAAACAACTAGAAAAAGCTGTAATAAGAAATATGTGAAACCTACAAGTAAAAAACTACAGAATGTTCGTATCTGAGAGGGATAAAATTAGACTGGAAATCATGGGGAGGCTTACCATTGTCCTAAATGAAAAGATGGAAATTTGTAAAGATGTCAGTTGATTTCAAATTAAATGAATAAACTTAATGCAGTTCTAACAAAAAAATCCAATCGGTAACAAATTTGTGAAAGAATGGAGACCTGTAAAACAGAATGTAAGATTGCACCAGTTCCTGCAGGCATCTCTCTCTCTCTGACATATAAAAGATAGCATTTGCAGATATTGTAAAAGAAAAGAAATAGAATTCTTTAGAATTGCTGAACACATAAAAATCCATGTTGGAGAATCGCAGAGTTAAAGCAACGATTGCAAAAACCAAATACAAAAGTTGTCTACAGAAGACAACTTAAATTTTTTCCTCTGAAAATATCTCAACATAATATGGAACATGAACTTCTTTGGTTTGAGTGAATCATTAAAGAGTAAAGCTGATACACAATAGATTCTGCAAAAACCAGTACTGAAAATTACATGTCATAAGTGTGCAGTTAAGTGAATTTTCACAGACCCATCATGTTGGTGTAACGCACCCAGATCCTCAACCCAGAAGCCTCAGCAAATTGTGTTTTTAATATGTTCAGTTGCAATTCTCTTTTAAAGTATATAAATGTAATTCACTATAGTAATAGGTTAAAAAGAAGCCCTGATGATGCAATAGTTAAGCATTCAGTTGTTAACTGAAAGGTTGACCATTCAAACTTACACAGCCGCTCTGTGGAAGAAGGAACTGGCCATCAGTTCCTGTAAAGGTTACATCAAGAAAACCCTATGGGACCATGGCCCCTAGTAAGCCTCCAGACCTGGAACTGAACTCATTACAGTGGCTTTCAGCCAAACAATAGACAGGCACAGAGGGTGAACATTTACAACAGGTAGATACACTCCTTATAACAATCAATCATGGGAGACCAGAAAGGCAGTATTTGCACAGGGAGATAGCTCTGGGGCAGAAATGCATAGGAAACAAGGACAAAAGGAAGAGGTAACTACAGGGAAGAAGTAGGAAGAGAGCTGTTACATTGTGGGGACTGCAGTCAATGTCATGAAACAAAACGCGTATGAACTGCTGGATGGAAAATGAATTTGTTTATAAACTTTGACCCAAATCACAATAAATTGTTATTTTAAAAATGAGCATAAAAAAGAAAACTCTACGGGACAGTTCTACACATGGGCTCTGTCATGTGGGGTCATTATGAGTCAGAATCAACTTGACAGCACCCAACAACAATAGATAAAAGGAGAAAAATCACATGACCATCTCGTTAGATGCGGAAAAAGAATTTGATAAGTTTCAACATCTGGTCATGATTTTTAAAAAGCTTATCAAACAAGAAATAAAAGGGAAATTCCTTCATCTGATAAAACAATCTACCAAAAAAAACCTCCAGTAAACATCATACTCAATGGTGAAAACTTGAGAAAGTTTTCCCACTGAGATCAAGAACCTGACATCTATTTACTACTATATTTCAGGCCCTGCTAGGCAATACGTTAAAAATAAATAAAAGATAGAAGTATTGAAAAAGAAACAAAACTGTCACTATTCACATAATGGTATTGTTGTGTCCATAGAAAATTCAAAATAATCAAAATAAATTATAAGAATACGATTACTGAATGTAAATTCAATATACAAATAAATATATTTGTGAGGAAAAATACAAATTGAAAATACTCTCATTTTTTGACATGATTAGTTTCCAAAGACCAGGTCCTTATGCAAAAATCACCATTATACAAAAAATGGAGGATGACTGTATCAGATGACAAAATGGAGCCTAAGCACATCATTACATAACTGCCAAACCACTGAAAATCATGGCCCAGCCAAGTAGACACATAACCTTAACCATCACTGTCACTGTTTCTCTTGCCTCGCACTTTGCTATTTGTTACTGCCAGATGTGTATCACTAATTTCAAAATAGTTGAAAAGTAGATTTTTCACTATTGTTACACGTGCAAAATGTTGGATTAGGAGATAGTTAATAAATGAGGAGGTATTAAAAGTACCCACTGCCCTAGAGCTGATTCTGATTGAAAGCGACCCTATAAGACAGAATAGAAGTTAGGGTTTCCAAGGGTGGAAATCTTTCTGGAAGCAGACTGCCTCATCTTTCTCCTGCAGGATGGATGCTGGGTTCAAACTACCGACCTTTTGGTTAGCAGCCAAATGCTGTGAACCACTATGCCATGAGAGCGCCTTCAAGGAGTAGATAAAAGAAGTTTTAATTCTCCCTGTTGAAAATAAGGGGACATTTCTTCCCCTGTTCTTTCAAAATTCATTCTAGATAACTTGTGATGGTAGATTCTGTCTTTCTGAAAAGTATATAAATTAAGGATGTTTTCTCTAGGACTTGGGAGCCATCTGTTTTGAAATGTAATCATCAAGAAAGCTTACACCCCTACCTTCCAGTTTCCTGGAAGTAGATTAGCATAACTCTAGGTATCCTGCCATAAAGATACTGAGAATTAGCAATTTTATCTTAAATATGAATGTAATGAGTTACGTCCACTCAGCTATCTAAAGAACAAAATATCTTTCTGTCTTTGCATTCCATTTAGTGGACTACCTGTGATGTATAACATTCTGGTTTAATGTTTATTCAATAATAAAACATTTCTTTCTCTTCTATTTTTGTGGAGAGGTTTTCTGAGTTGGGAGTAACTTTTCCCCAGCAATATATATGCTTACATGTTGCTGTTGTTCTTGTTGTTGTTAGGTGCCGTCAAGTCGACTCTGACTCATAGAGACCTATACACAACAGAACGAAACACTGCCCAGTCCTGTGCCAGCCTCACAATACTTGCTATACGTGAGCTGATCATTGCAACCACTGTGTCAATCCATCTTGCTGAGGGCTTTCTCCTTTTTCATTGACCCTCCACTTTACCAAGCATGATATCCTTCTCCAGGGAATGGTCCCTTCTAACAACATGACCAAAGTAGGTCAAACGAAGTCTGGCCATTCTCACTTCCAGGGAGCATTCCAGCTGCACTTCGTCCAGGACAAATTTGTTAGTGCTCTTGGCAGTCCATGGTACTTTCAGTATTCTTCGCCAACACCACAACTCCAAAGCATCAACTCTTCTTCAGTCTTCCTTATTCATTGTCCAGCTCTCACATGCATATGAAGTAATTGAAAACACCATGACTTACGTTAGGTGCACCTTAGTCTTCAAAGAGATATCTTTGCTCTCCAACACTTTAAAGAGGTCTTTTGCAGCAGATTTGCCCAATGCAATACGTCATCTGTCTCTCCTGCTGCTTCCATTGGTGTTGATTGTGGAACCAAGTAATATGAAATCTTTGACAACTTCAATCTTTTCTCCATTTATCATGATGCAGCTTATTGGTCCTGTTGTGACGATTTTCATTTTCTTTATGTTGAGATGTAATCCATACTGCATACTGAAGTCTTTAATCTTCATCAGTAAGTGGTTCAAGTCATCCTCGCTTTCAGCAAACAAAGTTGTGTCATCTGCATATCGCAGGTTGTTAATGAGTCTTCCTCCAAACCCGATGCCACACTCTTCATATAGTCCAGCTTCTTGGATTATTGGTTCAGCATATAGATTGAATAAGTATGGTGAAAGGATACAACCCTGACTCACTCCCTCCCTGAATTTAAAGCATGCAGTATCCCCTTGTTCTGTTCAAACAACAGCCTTCTGGTCTGTGAACAGGTTCCTCATGAGCACAATGAAGTGTTCTGGAACTCCCATTCTTCTCAATGTTATCCATAATTTGTTATGATCCACACAATTAAATGCTTTTGCACAGTCAATAAAACACAAGTAAACATCTTTCTGGTATTCTTTGCTTTCAGCCAAGATCCATCTGACATCAGCAATTATATCCCTTGTTCCACATATCCTCTTCTGAACCCAGCTTGCACTTCTGGAAGATATATATATATATGAATAAAACTTTGTAATTATCTTCAGCAAGATTTTACTTGCATGTGATATTAATGATATTGTTTTATAATTTCCACCTTCTGTGGGATCACCTTTCTTTGGAATGGGTACAAATATGGATCTCTTCCAGTCAGTAGGCCAGGTAGCTGTCTTCCAAATTTCTTGGCATAGACGAGTGAGCCCCTTTAGTGTGGCATCTGTTTATTGAAACACCTCAGTGGGTAGTCTGTCAATTCCTGGAGCCTTGTTCTTTGCCAATTCCTTCAGTTCAGCTTTGTGATAGTTGGAGCTGTCTGTCAACTTGGCTGGACCACAATTCTGTGTGGTTCAAGCTGTTGTGACGTGGTTATTCCCATGATGGAATCAGATTATTATGTTTTGAGCAGGCAATCTGTTGAAAGGGAGTTTCCCTAGGGATGTGGCCTGCTTCTAGTATATCTATGGACATTCTGGGAAAAGAGAAATTCTTCTGTGGATCAGGATTCTGTTGTGCTGCCTACAACTCTCCGTGAGTGAACAA